CAATGAATCCAGAATAAATGTTAGTGTTCATAGTTAAGATTCTCAGGAATTATGACATCAAAGTTATTGCACATCTCTAATGACTTGCTTCCTTCTCAAATAATTGTGGAGCAAATGAACCAGTTCTAAGATTGAAAGTAAAATGGAGGAAAAACAGAAAACTTTGAGAGATTTGGTTATAGTTCTAAGCATAAAAGAATTAAGAACATGCTTTCACCTTATTTTTGCTTCTAGAAATGTTTACATTGTCTAATTACTTGAGGAAAAGTTTTGTTCATCCACATATTTATTGGGTGTTTACTGCTTTTTAGATGGTGCTTATTCCTGCAGTGTTCATCCTGTGTCCTGTACAGCAGCAAATTCTGTATCTAATTACTCTGATTTCCAGTTAATACTACTTGCAGCTTCTGTTTTTTTCAAACCACTAGGCTGAAATTGGTCCTAAGTGTGTTATTTATTGTGTGTGTGTGGTAAATCCAAAGGATTTATGTGAGGAACTGGATGGGGCTGCAAGCTGTGTAGCATTACTCCTTAGCCTTACTATCTCTGCAGGCAAAAATAGGAAGATATTGGGTCCAAGTGGCCCCTTTGCAGCACTGTCACTTCCCTGGAGGGGAGAACGTAGTGAATTGGTTGGTTTGCTTTTTTCCCTATGACTAAAGCCACAGGGAGAGGAGAAGAACATAATTTCTCTGATTTTCTGTTTTCCTTTCTGAAATCTTCTTCTCAACAGACTGAAAACCAGGTGTTCCCCAGGGGAAAGTTAGTTTTTGAATGATTTGAAAAAAAATTGAAACTAGAATTTGAATTGCACAGTGGTGAGCCTCTGAACTATGCAAAAGCTTTTATGGCACACTCACTCTTGTTTTCCAGAGCAGGCTTGCTCGTGGCTTTCTGTTCTGTTTCAGAAGTTAAACTGAGGCAATAGTGGTCAGAAAATGAATGCAGTTAACGGTGCAATAGTTAAACAGTTTTAATTAAATCAGTTAATTAGCTTGTGTAATAATAATGTACTTCCTAACTCACCTTCTTTCTAAAATATAATTTCTTTATTGTTACATGAAGTATAAAAACATCACTGCCTGAAGTGACAGCTGAAAATGCTGTTTTTCAGTATCCTTCATCTACATTGTTGAGGATTGTTTTTTTTATAGCCTGTATTCCCTGCTTTTAGTCTAAGATTTTAAAATTTTCCTTAAGGTTTTCAGCATTGGGTTATCATATGCTATAGGTAGATCTTCAACAGAGATGTTTTAAACATGCTGTTATTTCGACTTTAAGGATCTGGAGAGACCTTGTGGCTTTCCAGCATCTGAAAGGGGCCTGCAAGAAAGCTGGGGAGGGACCTTTTGCAAGGGGACTGAGGGCAATGTGTCCCAGCTGTAAGAGGGGAGATTACAGATTAGAAATTAGGAAGACATTCTTCACTGTGAGGATGGTGAGACCCTGGTACTGGTTAACCAGGCAAGTTGAACACCTCACTGGAGTAACACAGTGCCTTTGACTTGGTGTCATGGTTGCATTCAGCCCTGTGCTGACTGCTGAATTCTGTCCAGTTTGCAGTTCATCACATTGCACTAAATGGGATTTCCATTGTGGAAGAAGGGATGTTCAGTGAGAGGCTGAATAATGTTGAAAAATCTGTTTTGAAGCCTTGGGAGCCATTAAGTAAATGAATACGATTTACTGGGAGAGCATGTTCTGTCTATCTAATACAACTTCCTTGATTATTCTGGCCAAATTTGTCATTGCTGTATTTCCACTCCATTGCACAGCTCCGGTCCCTTCCAAAAAGCATTTTAATATTCCTTGGAACAAACATCGTCAATATTTCTCCAGCAAAATATTTTTTAATCTTCTTTTATGTCTGCCTGCAAGATCTAATCCATGTCTTAAACTTGCAAAGCAAAATCCATTTTAGGAGAACTCTGCACAGAGAGAGGGGATTGTCAGACCCTGGTGCTGCACGCAGGACTGGAGGAGAGCTTGGAGCACAGGGTCAGGTCAGGATGGCCACAGCGGTGGGTGGTTTGTCTTCTGCACTCTGGCAGTGTCTGGGTTAGGCTGATGTTTCCTAGGAAAGCAGAGACTGCCACCGTGTGCCAAGAGTCCTGATTGCCTCTGCAGAGCAATGATGGGGCTTCAGCAGGGAGCAGTGTCTCATGGCTGGGTTTGCCTGGGAGGTTTTGAACTCAGGAGTGAAGGCTCGTGGTGATGTTCTTAACTGCTGCAGGTAAGGCAGATGTTTGTGCGAGTGGTCCTTAGTTCATCTGAACGCTTTGGTAAGCAGGAAAATGAGGAAAGGGCTGAGACCTGAGTGACAAGAATCTGTGACAGGTACCAGGTTCTTACAGGCTCCACCTGAGGGCTCTGATTTTTTTCTGGTTTTGTGTGATGAGCTTGTCATCACTGTAAACAACAAAAGGTCCCAAGGAAACTGAATTTATTTTTCTCCATAAAAACTATGGTGCTGAGGGACATGGTTTAGTGGTGACCTGCCAGTGCTGAGTTAACAATGATCTGAAAGGTCACTTCCAACCAAAACAATTCTATGATTCTAAAAATCTGTGATTTGAATTGCTGATATTGATTAAAATTATATATTAGCATATTACATAATATAGATAAATATGCCAGCTGTGTTATTAGTGTTATTAGTAGTGTATTATTAACATGAATTCACAATTACTCTATTAAAATTACATGCTATGTGTGAAAACCATTGTCATTATAATATATATTAAAATTGGGACAATTTTAATTGTTTAATACAAATTAAAATTGGGACCCTGTGACACAGAGCAGTGCTGGAGGTGGCTTGATGTGTTTCACAACTGAGAGAGGACCAAGTTTTTGTCTCTGTTCTGCTCCTCCTTTTGCCTTCTCCCTGGGTGAAAACATCACTGAATGACTGGATGGCTGATTATATTAGTTTTTTTAATCTCACCTTTCTTTATAAATATACTTTTTAAAATGGTCTCTCTTTAAGGAATGGAAAAGGTCTGTGCAGAGTGTGGAGCTTTTAACTAAGTGGAATTAATGAGTTCTTAGCTTTAAAGCAGAGAAGTGTTGAATCAGGCTCTTAGAGGTCCTCAGCATCCATAGCACAGAGACACAAACCCTGAAGATTTGCAGTTTCACCCTCCCTGCTACTAAATTTACACATAAAAATTAATTGATATTGAATTATTTGACATCTGGATTCTAAAAAATTCATTGGCTGTGTATCCCACAACAGTATTTTACTTCAGTTTCAAATTCCTGGAGAGTTCTGAGGTTTGTGGAGTCTGCACAACAGAGGGTGGTGGTTAAAGAGCAGTTGTCTGTGCCTCAGGGCAGCCACGAGGATGATGAGGGTGGGAATCACAGCTGCAGAGGAGGTACAGCTTGTGTTACTGTCGTAGATTTGTTGGTTGCCCATCTTCCTACAACTCTTCAAATTTCACAGAATTATTTCAAATGTCTGATCTTTGCCTTAAAAATCATCACCATTACTGAAATAACCAAGTAACAGCCTGATTGTGCTAGAGCAGGGGTGTTTATGCAGCTGAAATTCTGCCCCAGTGATTACAGGAGGGAATGACTGTAAATCCCATGGGAGATCAGAGTTTCCCATCGTAGTTTTTCAGAAAGAATGTGTAATTTTAGGTAAAGAGTACTGACATCTTGTGGCTGCACGAAACAGTGCAAATATATTTAGAAGAGCATGTTGCAATTAGAACAAAAGCTAATGACTGCGGTCCCCAGTGGATGTAAACACAAAACTCTAGAATATGCCAGTCTTATGAAAAGCATTAAATATAAAATAAAATAAAACGTCTGTCTTATAATTGTGCTGCTTTTCACAAAGATTCAGTTATTATTCATGCTAGATTTATTGTTTATTTTAAGATAGGCTTGGATCAATCAGGACTCAATATTATTCAGGCTCAGAAGTAGCTGACAGAGAAATAAAAATATGAATCTCATCCAATATTTTTCATTAAAATGCATTTCACTTACATAAAGATGAAACCTTGCCAACAGGCATTTTAGGGAAGATATTAGTTTGGATTTTCTATCCAGCTTTTTTTTTCTTTTGTTTTAAGACTTAATTGTATTTTTTGGTAATGAAAATATACAGGAAAAGGTGAGCAGTCACAGAATCACAGATGAGTAGTCGTGGGATCATAGATTTGTTTAGGTTGGGAAAAAAACCTTCAAGGTCCTCGAGTCCAACCATTGACCCAGCACTGCCAGGTCCCCACTGAACCACCCCAGCTCTGGTGTGGGAAGCTGCATCGCACTGTGGTGGTGGCAACGTCACCCACCTCCGTGTGAAACCCTGTGGTGAGGAAAAGTGATCTTATTTTAAACCAAAACTGGGTTTTGTCACTTGTTTCACACTCTCTCACCCGCGTGCTCAGCTTCACAAGCACAGATCTGTGGCCTGGGTCATGCACGATGGGGAGGGGAAGGACACCAGCCCATAGCTCTTCTTTGCATCTCCATCCTCGCGGGGCCATGTCCCTGCTGGTGTTGGATCTGCTGTTTTCTGCCTCCCAGGGGCTGATGGGTCTCTCAGTCTGGAAGCGTGTGAGCTTTGGGGATGACTTCAGGGTTGGTTGTGAGTGCTGTAGGAAGTGTGTCTTCATGGAAGAGGGAAGCCTGGACACAACAAAGTCGGTGAAGAGTTACACTAGTAGTGTCACTGGAGCCTGTGCCTTTTCAAAGGCATGAGACAATATGATTAATAATTTACAGAGATAACTTTAACTTTATAACCTAATTTTTGTGATTGCATTAAGCAATCCTACTCCTAATAAGGACATAATTCTGTTAGGTAAAATCTAGATGGCATTAGCCAGTATTTCATGTTTGACTTTGAGTATGGATTGCAAACAACAGTCCTGTCACTCTATCAGTTAAAATTACATTTAGTTCTGTTTAAGGTGATTTATTCTCTATTCCCTTAGTGCATTAAAAGTACAAAAGTAACAGCATGCATATGTCTTTAACAGGAACCAGTGATCCGTACGTCAAGTTCAAACTTGGAGGAAAAGAGGTATTTAGAAGTAAAACAATACACAAGAACCTCAATCCTGTGTGGGAAGAGAAGGCTTGCATTCTCATAGACAACCCAAGAGAGCCCCTGTATATAAAGGTGAGACACTGCCCAGCCCAAGCCATGCTGTGGTTCTGTGGTTATGTCTGTCAAATTACAACAGAGTTTTAAATAACCTGTGTCTTTTTTGTATGGTGAACTTTTTTTTGTGCAGCAGTGAATTACTGAAGACTTCTAGAGCTGAAAATTATTTAAATTACATTTGCATGTTGATGATGCCAAAATTAAAAAAAAAAAAGAAAGAAAAAGTAAATACAGGCATTTTTGTTTATTTCGGGCTGTAATTGTTTAATACTTTAGTGTGATCTTAGCAGAAGGACAGAGAAAGTAAACTGTGCTTCTTAATGATGACCTTTTATTTATGGAAACGTTGAATGATTCTGATATGAAGCATAATCTACCCCATTAAAACCAATTATTTGCTGAAGTTAATTTGAGAATTTATCAAAATGTATGCCCAATTCACCTAGGTTTTGGGTTTGTTTCTATTCATATGTGAACAAAGTGGGTTTGCTTATGTTTTGTAATGCTTTTTACCATATTTTTTCCTTACATTAGTTAGTATATGGCAGCTGGGGATAGTTTTGTTGTAATAGAGGCATCACTTGTTCCAATATAACAGACAGCTTGAGTTTAAATCCCAGCAATGCCCAGAGCATTTACCAGCTGTGCCACTAGAACTTCTTAGCTGTCAGTGTTGGAATGGAGGCTATAAAAGCTGTGATCAGTGTTTTATAGGCACGGAGTGGAGAGGCAGTTTTCTGGCCCACATGGTTCATGGTGATCTCTATCCAAAAGGGATCCTTACTTGTATAAAGCAAAGTAGATAAAAATGAAGTTGTAAAAATGCTTTCAGAAAAACTGCACTCTTAGGGTTCTTCATTAGAGCATACAGAGGTCAAAAATACTTTGAGAAAGATTGGAAATGCAAATCTTACCTAAGTAACCCTTTTAATTAGTCTGAAATGATACATTGGTCTGAAATGATGCAATCGTTCAGATCAGTGTCAGTCTTAATCTCAAATACATGGCAAAAATTTTGACTGAAATACAAAATTGTGGGGTTTTTTTAGTAGGTGAATGCCACTTGAGCAGCTTTTGAGTGTCAGTCTGTGTTATTTTTCATACATTCTGCTCAGATAAAGTACATCATTATTAGTGTACAATTAATTACAATTCTCAGTTGTCCTTTTCCTGCCCTTATTAAGCTTAGTGACTTAAAAGGAATGAACTTGTGCCCAGCACTGTGGAAGAGAGAAACAGATTCAGAGAAGGAAACTTACAGCATAGCTTCCTCTTTTGATTTATTTGTGCCAAATACCAGCCCTACAGTAGACTCATTAGGGAATGTCTGTGTGTTTTGTCATTTAGCTTTTTTTCCCTAGGAAGAGTTTCTCAAGTGGTATGGTGTCTATCCAAGTTTGTACTCTGAGCACCCTGTGAAATATTTCAGGTTTTATTGCTTCTTCAGATATACTAAGACACGATTTAATTGTACCAAGTCAGCTAAATGTTTAGTTGGTGTTTTCATCTTGATAATTTGTAGGAGGAGAAAACGATTCTACTTTGAAACATTAATTGATATTTCATCATTTGCCTTCTTTCCCCAGTAGAATGAATATTTGATAGGGAAAATATGAGGGTGGCATAATCCATCTCAAATCACTGATACCATTCCATGTGCTGGCAACAGATCCCTGTCTGGATGTCAGTAAATTTGTCCAGATGCTTTTTCTTTTGGGTAGCAAGTTAGCAGGCAGGATCCTTATAGTGGAGTAATAAATGTTCTATACATATCCACTAAGTTTTCACCTTTGATTATCATATTTCTATACCCTAGAAGGTTATACGACATTCAAAACCTACAATTTTATCATTTCTAATACTGATACAAGTGCTGTAATAACCCACTTTTTACAGTCATTTCTCATCCTCTTGCCTGTATTTTGGAAAATGGATAAAGGTATCATTTACTGTGTACCAAGTCAGAGGTTCTGCTTCAGTTATTCTTCTGGTCTTCCTTCCTTTACTGCCTGTGTCTATAAAACTGCTTCTTTTATTTTTATAAAATTGATGCTGTTCACATATGCTGCACAGAACTCGTATCACCCCAAGCCTGTACAGAAGCCTTCTGACTTTTACATGAGCAGTTTCAAACTTGATTTTTATGGCCAGAAAGGTGCAGGTTGCTTTCTGATAGTCCTGGTTTAACATGTGAGAAGCATGTGGCTTTACTGTGGAAAAGGACTTTCAAGAACTATTCATAAAGCAATAAAATACCAAAAAAAATACAAATATTTCCAGTACTGAAAAATGCATTTATCTCCTGTGCATCTTTAGGTCTTTGACTATGACTTTGGACTTCAAGATGACTTCATTGGTTCAGCATTTTTGGATCTCACTTCACTGGAATTAAACAGGTATGGTGCAAACAACTCTTTGGAGTAATTCTTTGTGGTTATCTTCTAGTACCATGTTTGCAGAATTGCAAATAGAACATTATGCTGGAAGATAATTATATAAACCTACACCACATAAAACTAACCAAGGAGAAACACTTAGCTTAGAGAATTACTGTAATATAAACGTTAATAGTATATTAACTATTGTGCAGAACATCTTTTACAGTGTCTACTGAGAGGTTAATTTTACAACCACTTTAATCTTGTTTTTAAATTATCTTCATTCACAGCATTACCACCTACTGTTGAACTTCATTTTTTCTGTTCTTTAATCTATGAGTCTTACAGTTCATATTTAATTACTAAAGCATGTATGTACTTAACACAGAGTAAGAATATTTAATACTTATTTATGAGTATTTAGACTGTAATACTTAAAAGTAATATAAATTTGTGACACCATTTTCAAGTAGTTTCATATGACTGCAGATACCTTCAATTCTCATGATTCAGAAAGCTTGTTTATCTAACAGCCTGAAATCAAAATAAATGCATATATTTTTGTCTCCTAGGCAAACAGATGTTACCTTGAGTCTGAAGGATCCCCATTACCCTGACCATGATCTGGGAAGTATATTGTTGTCAGTTTTGTTGGCACCTAGAGAAGAACAGCAAGAAGGGGTAATTTTAAATATTTTAACTTGTGTCATCAGTCCTGTGATAGTTCTGTGGTTGGATGACCACCTGGTCTGAGATTAATTTGATTTTTCCAATTAAAATAATGCTGAACAGTGTTTCTGGTATAGCAGAGTGTAGTTACCTGAAGTGGATCCAGATGGAATACAGATGTTCAGCAGCTTCTGGTACAGTCAGCTGCAGGTGAATATTGCTGATAAAAGTGGAGAAATATCAGTAATCTATCAGTGAAGAATTTTGGATCTAGTGCTGCCATCTCTAGGTGAGAACATTAGAATCCTGTTCCACAGTGGAAATAAGAAACTTGAAGATCAAGGTAGTAATTCTGCTTTCTGGCATCTGATGAAGTGTAATTCAATGTTTTTCTACTTCAGGACAAGTTTTCCGTTACAAAAGTGTATGGTTTTCTAGGTGTATAGTACTTCATCAGTCTTCATTTTTGGAGCTGTAAATTAATTCTAAGTGAAGATAGTTCCCAGTTATATAGATCCTTTTAGTTGTGGCAAATTGTGTCTCTAGTTGGATGTGTTTTTCTAACTTTTAGTCAGTGGACTTTTGACTTGGGCAGTAGTAATACAACTGTGGTAGAAATAAAAGAAATACATCACTCACTCAGGTTGTAAGATAGTGTGGATTCCTTTGGCTTCAGAAAGGCCAAGAAAGAAGTACTGATCTGATGAAATTTTCCATGGATGTGGTTTTTGCAAGAGGTATAACCTGAGGAATACTGGTGGGTTGTAATGTTCTTTTTCCACTTTTCCACTAGCTGTACTTAAGTCAATTATTGGAACTAGGGGTTTGGTGTTTGGTACAACAGAGGTGTAAAGTTTTGCAAATAGGTTTCTCATCTGTTAATTTTCTTCATGGTGCTCTTTTAGAACTTAAAAATAATGGAATATGTCAGTAATGTGGATAAAGTTTATTTAAAAAGTGTATTTGTCTTTCTTTTAGCAATTTAGTTGGCCCACACAATTCTGAATACTACCTCACAAATTTGCACCAGAGAATTGTTTATTGCTTAAATTGAGAAGTGTCTTTCATTCTGGGTATTTTTTGTGTGTGTATGTGTGTAAGACCAGTGTTCCTGAGTCAGCTGGTAACAGCCCTGTTTTTCCAGGGGGCTTTGGTATTATCTTGAATCACTCAGGACAGAAATACTGTATTTTTATGTGGGATAAACCATGATGTGGACAGCATGTTGTTTCTCGTTTTCATCACTATGATAGGATAGCTACTGTGCTGCTCAGTGTTACCAGCTATTTACAGAGAGCCTTCAGGAAAGTCACACGTGAGAAATTAAGGCACTGGAGTCTAACATGCCTTACATGTGGGTACTTACTCGTTGACTTCACAACTGAATGTCCAAAGCAATGGAGCAGCATAGATTGCTTGGTAGCAACTTTTTTCATCTCCAACAGACTGATTTAAGAGGAGGAAGAATTGTTTTTGTGCTATTACACCTTTCACTATTAGCTTTCTATTTAACTAGTGAAAGGGTGAGAGAATAATGGGCTGAAGTTGTGCCAGGGAAGGTTCAGATTGGATATTAGGAAGAATTTCTCTCCTGGCAGAGTGGTGAGGCCTTGGAACAGGCTGCCCAGGGAGGTGCTGGAGTCCCCAGCCCTGCAGGGGTTCAGATATTGTATGGACGTGGTACTCCAGGACATGGTTTAGTGGCCATGATAGAGTTGGTTGGCAGTTGTACTTGATCTTGGAAGTCTTTTCCAACCTTAATGGCTCTATGAGTCTATGAATCAGGAAGCTAATCTTTTTAGGTTATTTCAAGTGACCAGTTTTTCTTCCCATTCAAACTGTGCTATGGGACTTCATTCTGAAAATGCCCAGGGTTCAGTTTAAGATTCTGATTCCTAATTGGAAGCTTTATATTCATTATGAGAAGCCAGTCTTCCCAAAATATGGACCCCAGAGCAGTTCTGACAAAATTGCAGTAAAATCAGAGAATTTGTGTCGCAATGCAGGGAGGAGGACCTACAAAATCTACATTGAATTGATATACGTGTTAGGGGTTAACAATTCAAGGCACAATTATCTTTTATTCAGTTACCACATGTGCTTATTTATTTATTTATTAGATTTTATTTACTCTCTGAGGAGTAGGTATATTACTAAATGTATTGCTCCAGCTGAACAGTCATCCTTGGTTATTTTTAAAAGGTCTTCAAATAATGAGGACTTTTTTTTTTTTTGAGTTTGTTGTGATTAAGATCAATAAATTTTCAAATGTTACGTTAGAAGATCGAGGCTACTTCTTGTCCATGCTGGAAATGTGCACAGTATAAAGCAATAATTAAAGCAACTCCTACATTCCCAGTCTGTGTAGCCTGCTGTTTGGATGATTACTGCTTCCCTTCTACTTGGGTATCTCTATGTAGGTAAAAATTCAAATAGTGTAGTTGAAATATATAGATAAAAACCCCTGGGCACCTCAAAATATGTTTTAACAACTGCTGCACAGAAGGCACAAAGACACTGTCTCTTCACATCACCTGCATTTTTTTCTTAAGTCATTGTAAATGTATTTAAATTCTGTTGGTTTGATACCCCTGTATAGCCTACATTTCAAAAATGTATTTTCTTCTAAGTTTTAATTTGTGCAGGTGAAATTGCTCTCTAACTGGCTTGCACATGTAAATGGGACCAAATGGTGAGGTCATCAGGCTGAAGAATTTAGAACTAAACTGCTAGTACTTAAATTTCAGATACTATAATGCCATATATTTAAAATGAGAGTGTTTATTAAGACCACTGGGGAAATGACAAAAAAAAAAAAAGAGTAACTTCAACAGAAGAAGCATTAGCTTTTCAACACAGCCACAGGAGAGCCTATGTTTTGGGCAGCTCTGTAGCCATAATCCAACCCCAGCCCTCTTGAACAGGACGTGCTGTTCATGGTGGGGTGTCCAGCAGCTTTTTGGCATGAGTTAGAGTTCCTGAGTTGATCCCTGCACTGCCTGAGCTGGGGCGAGGGACTCATCGTGGAGGTCGAGTGCTGGTGTCTTCCATGAGCCAAGGGACAGGACGAGAGCCTCAGGTTGTGCCAGGGAAGGTTTAGGTTGGACATTTGGAAAAAAACGTCTTCCCTTCAAGGGCTGTGAAGGGCTGGCTGAGGCAGTGGTGGAGTCCCCACCCCTGGAGGGGTTTCCAAGCCGTGGAGATGTGGGGTGAGGGACACGGGGCAGAGGGGACCTGGCAGGGATGGGGGATGGTTGCACTCAGTGATCTGAAAGGTCTCTCCCAACCAGGACAAGTCTGTGATTCTGTGTGCAGATGGAGGGTAGGTTTGCTGGTGGTACCTTTGTGTAGCTGCAGGACAGGTCTTGCAGCAGGGCATTTTATTGACCTATCAAAACAATGCAGCTGCATGTTTCAGCAAGGTGCATCCTGTCACACTGCGTAAGAAATACTGACACTGCTGGAGAATAAGGTACTCCAGGGGGAAGTTTGAAGTTAATTGGTACAAAATTTGTAGCCTTGTTATATATTGTGGCCTATCTGTGACATAGTGTTGTTACAAATGATTTCAAAAACAAGAAATCAGTTTGACAGAACTATAGTTTATTTTGTTTTGGGTGGAACAAACACAAAAAAAACCCCTTGTTTTGTGAAGCCTTGAGGTGTGTAAAGTGATGAAAGAGACTTAGCACACAGAGGAGCATTCTATTCCTGATCTTTCTGAAAGAAATTCTGATGAAAGACAGATTTTTCTGAACACTGACCAACGAGGTCAGTGGAAAGGTCCCATTTCCTGGGATCAAAACTGATTATGTCTTTAGATTCAGATATCAAATAAGAGTATTAACATTTGTGTATGTTCATATAACTGTATGTGACATCATATTGCAGGCTTGGAGGGGGGAGTTATTTATCTTTGAGAAGGCTTGGATTGTGAAACCAGTGCTTAAAAAGTTTATGATTTGTATTTTTCCAGTGGAAGAATATTTGACATAGTTTCAGTTAAGGGGGATTCATTATACTAGGTTCATAAACCTATGCTAGATGGGAAACAAGAACACACTGTTTGATTTTTGTGGTATGTTTTATTGGAAAGAAGTGTAGAAGTAGCCTGCAGTTAGCATAGAGTTAATACAAGAGTGTGGGCAGGTGAAAAAATCAAAATTTCTAGCAAATCTTGTATGTAATTACCTTTGCCTTTTTTAACCTAGTGTTTGTTCTGAAGGCATAAAAATACGAACTTTTAGAGTTATAATTTTGTAGCATCTGTGTACATGAATAGAAGTCCTGTTCTTTTGAGTTTCTACAAATGAAGGCAATCTGATTTGTTCAGATTTTTGAACAGTCATAAGTTGTGGATTAAAACTGGTGAATGGATTATTCTTACACAACCATAAAAATATCTCTAGTGTTCATGAAAAGAACAGTCTATTTCCAGCCTAACTCAATCAAGTTGCAGTAGCACTGGGTCAGATAATTCATTAGCACCTGCTCTGTGCTGTTAACAATAGTTGTTCTTTACAGTAATGCAATGTTTTTAATTATTTTGCATTGGGAGGACAGATAGCTGATGTTATTAATGTAAACTAAGATGAGGAAGCAATAAGGGAAAAGTATGTGTATGTAAACATATGAAAACCTCTGAGCTTTACAAAAATTCTATCGCTTTTAACTCTTCTTTTAAAAAATACCGTTATGATGTGTTTCCTGTTTTTTTTTTTCATTAATTTCTCCTCTTGATGAGCAGTTAAAAGAAGCCAGACCTAGAAATGGCTTGTTTTTGTCCCCACCCCTGCCCCAGTGAGGCTTGCTTTGCTCCTGGGGCTCCCCGAGCACGCTGTGGCTGTGTCCCCTGCTGCGTGGTGCTGTGCCTGGACTGCTGTTCCACCACGGCCAACAGCCTGAGTGGCATCAAAAATGGAAAAAAGGGAATGTATGAGTGCTACTTGCATGTTGTTACTGACTGAGAATAAATTTCACAGCATTACTTTTTCCTTAAATAATTTATCACAAACAATGCTTAATATTGTTTTGCTTCATATGAGAATATTAACAGCATTGATACGCTGCGAGTTTGCTTGCTGGGTTAAATCTTACAATGTAATATTGGCTTTTTGATTTATTTACCAGAGGGATAATAACAGCATAGAAAAACAAAAATTATGACAGATGGACTCGGAGCATGGAATATTTTCAGATTTAAAAAGTTCCATGCAGCTCATCCTACGTGTCTGCTGTGTTGACTTCTAAGGATGGTTGTGATGGCTTCAGCTCATCCTCCTGCAGCTGGTGACGATGCTGATGCACTCAACAGGTGTAGTCATAGGTTCCTGTAGCCACTGTTCAAATTGAACTCCTCAGAGCTCAATTTGAGAGAGCTCAGAGCATATTTAGTGAAGCTGTTGGGCTGTGTTCTCCTTGCTCACAGCCTGGTCTGGAGCTGAGTTCATGCTCTGGCTTGTAGCTGTGTAGGATTCAGCAATGACCAGAACAGGAGGAGCTGTGCTGTGCTGCACAGCACCCAGGAACTCAGAGGTTTTCTCCAGGGCCTGCTGTGGGCCTCAAGCTGCTTAATTCTTATGTGTCTCCCTTGAAAAAGTGAGTTAAATGGCTTTCTCCAGCTTTATAAAACATTTAGTATCTATGTACATTTTCTGAAGCCACAGTGCCACAGTTATGATTAACTTACAGCAGAGCCTTTAGGCTTTAACTGTCCACAGCAACTGAGTCATTTTCCTCAGCAGCTGGTTGCATTTCTTCTCCCAATAAACTGTGTATATTTGAAGAGTCTGTGGATATTTCAAAAATATAAGACCCACGTTTTCTCCCGTTTGTATTTTTTCCCAATATAATACTTTTATTCCTTAGAAAGGAAAATGTTTGCATTTCAAAATAGGCTTCTATTAGCTGAAAAAGAAAGTGGCTTTGGTTAATAAAACATGAGAGTGGTGTTTGTTTTCCATGATGAAGTTTCAGTAGAGGTTAATGGCCTTTGATTTATTCCTGCTCAGTGTCAACAACAGGCTGCTAAATGTTAATAAATTGTATAAATTAATTTCTCTGTGATTCCACAGAACTGCTTTAAGCAACAGTTGTGTTCACAGACAAATTACCCAAATCAGTCTTGACCAGAATTTATTTATGTAATGATTAGGAATTAAATAATTCTCTTCTACTTAATGATTAAGAATATGTGTCTGTGGACACTGTTCCTGTCAGAGCATTGTCTCTAGCAGTTCCAAGGTTTTACAGATTATTTGGTTAATGAGTTTGGCATTTTGGGTTTTTTAAAGAGTCAAGGTATGAATTTTTCTTCCATCCCACGTGCCTAATTAAGCCAAAGAGCTATTTTTACTGTTGTAAAACTAATTAGTAGTGGTAACCTTAAGGATTTTGTAATAGGTGCAAGTTGTACAAGGAGCTTTAATGTAGGATTTCTCTTACGTGGCTACACCTGTGAGCTAAACAGTTCCAACAAACTGGAGTACATCAATACTAAAAATCATTCAAGTATCAGTCAAAATTGAAGTCTCTATCAGTAATGTCACTTTCCTTTTTTTCATTTGCTTACCTAATTCTTTGTTTCTTTCAATTTCACATGATGTGTGGTCTCTGGAACGGAGTTCACAGCCCCTGGAAGGGTGTGCCTGGGTGTGAACAGTGGTGCTGTTGTCTGGATCTGTTTCAGTCCTGTGTAGCTGTTGGTGGAGTGTACGTGTGGCTGCTTCAGTGGCAGTGGTGGCTAAATGTGGATTGTCCATTGGAGAAAGTTGGCTTCCTTTTCTGAATTGTAGAGAAAAGGTAATTAAAATGCTCTATTTTATTTTCAGACAATGCTAATGAGGAAGAGTTGGAAAAGATCAAGTAAGGTAACTTTTAGCATGTGGTCTTCTGGCCTTTTTTTTTATTATTTCTAAGAAGAACTATCATGTTTTACCAAACATGCCATCTAGGACTGGAAACTTACACCGCGGGATTTATTCACCTTCAAATTGTGTTTTAATGACATTGTTTTGTGTTCCATCAAATCAAAACCATGAAGCCGTTGAGCTTTTACTGTAATCATTAAACTGCTCAACTTTGGTACAGCATTTTAGCCTGTCTTGAAGTCATCTAGCAACTTCATACCAGTGGCAAACGTGTCCTGATTATTTTTTCTAAAACCTTTAATTTCTCATTTATAAACAAATTCTTTCAAGCTTCCTTGTTAAAGAATTCATGCTGAAGGGTAACTCATTTTCCCATTTCTTGCTCCTCTTGCCAATTAGGGGTTTTGTGTGTGGAAGTTTTCATAGTGATGCCTCTCAAAGACACACTTTCACAAAGCCAGGCTTTCCAAGAGCAGAGTCCTTAAGGAAACATCTCAGTCTGTCCTTCACACAGCTCTTCAGGTGCCTTTCCAGGAAAATTCATTATCTGGCTTTTCTCCCCTTAGTGGTGATGTGACTGGTAAGAAAAGGAGCAGTGTGTGCTCTTCTGGACTGGGCAAGGACTGGGAGTTCGACTGAAGCAGAATGCAATCTTTATTTTTACCTTTTCCTGTATGTCTCCAAAAATATATAGAAAATATGGATAGTTTCTCAGCGGTTCTGTGGCTATTCTCATCTAATGCTACCATGGTGATTTCAAGTTTTAAAGCTTTCTTATTGATTGTGTAGTTAAAAATAGAATTAAAATTTCTTAGTCTTGAGCTGGTGTGATACATCTGGACGTTTTTGAGATATTATCACTTAAAGATGTTAAAATGGGAAAAATTAAATAGCCGTGTGGGGTGATTTCACCAATTTTGTGCAGTGGTTTTGTGTTAGCATATTGATGCACGGATTTAAATAGAAGGTTATTAGAAGTGTTGTGTGTAGAGATCACTGACAAATAATCTGCACAGTAATTTTAACTTCAAAAAAATAAAATAGAGGGCAGGGATCATAATTTTTGAGTTATGGATGGGTTTTTCACAGACTCTGCTCCTGTGATGCAGGAGAGTACTCCACCTCGCTTTGCTTTTTGAAGTCTGTGAAGAAAAGGTATTTGGTGAAGTGGAGATGTGCTGTATTTTGATTCTGATAGGGTTTGTGTAACTTTTCCTGAAGTAGCCAAGATGCTCAAACTTCTGAACAGTTAATGAAGAGCTGTGAGGATGGTGAAGGGCAGTTTTGCATCATGAAAGTAATGTGTTGAGTCCTGCTGAGTTTGTTAGGTGACAGTTTGTAAAACTTGTTTATTAAGAACTTCCCTCTACTTCAGATTTCAAGCTGAGAAAACTGTGAGCTTCAATAATCCTGAATAGTGGCACAACATGACAGCTGGGGATTCTTCAGAGCTGTTCAAGTGAATTATTTATCCTTGTTCTCCTTTGTTACATTCAATTAACATTCCATTCAGCAGTTGCCATTTTTTGCAAAGGGACATGTTGAAAGATTTGGCCAATAGCAAATGCAGGAATTTAAATATTGCATTTTTTACATGTATCTCAGCTGAAGTAATCGTTTTGTGTAGAGATCTAGTGCTTGTGCAGTGTCTTACATGCACTCTTGTGTGTGTGATTTGTATGCAGAAGTATCTCAGTTAATCCACAGGACCTCAGTTGCCTTGTGGGGCTGTTCCAGAGTTCCAAATCTTTGGTCTGCTGTCAGGAAAACAAATTTTAAAATCTTTTATGTAGAAGGACTTCCTTTGAAACAACGGCTGTTCTTTGTGGTGCAGCATGATCAGTATTAAATATGACATAATTTATAGATTTAAAATAATGTCTAGAAATAGGTGCTTAGCGTTCATAGAGAAAGTGCACTATCTGAGATCCTTCCTCTTCAGAGTTTGTCTTACACTCCTGAGAGCTGACAAAAACCAGAGTATTAAATTTTTTTAGAGATATCATTATAAAATTTCCTAAACATACTCTTTTAGCTCTCTAGAGTCTTTACAATGTCACTCTAGTAACTGAAGTTGATTTTAGAGATTATGACAGTGTATTTTACTTTTCAAAACCTGTGTACATGAAGCCTGCCTTCTCTGTGACACATGTAGCTTGAAGCTTGGAGGATATGGCACTTCTTGTGTTCATGAGCTGCACTGCTTGCACTTGGTTCCTTTGGCATTTGGAAAGAACCATGACTATCCAGCTGGGAGGTTCAACAAGTCCGAATGCCAGGTCCTGCCCTTGGGTCACAAC